GGGGGGGGGGTGGTAAGAACAAAAAACTAAATGAAGAAAGAGGAGAAGAAGACAAACTTGTTGTAGACGGTATGGGAGAATATACTAGATAAGGTATGGAGAAATATGGGAGAAGGTCTGGATAAATGTGCTGGAAAGGTATGGGAGAAGATATGGGTGAATGTACTGGAGAAGGTTTGGGAGAAGGTATGGGAGAATTTACTGGATAAGGTATAGGAAAAACACGGGAGAAGGTATGGTTGAATGTATTGGAGAAGGTGTGGGAGAAGGTATGGGAGAAGAGATTTTATCAAGGAAGGTTTGGGAAAGAATGAAATGATACTTTTAATTTAGAATTGTTGGGGGCGGGGAAGGGGGGTGTGAAAGAAGAACAAATGAGAAAAAATATTGGATGAGTTAAGGATGAAGGATCGACGGAAAAAGAAAAAGGAAATTGAATTGTACTAAGAATAAATCTTGGAATTGAATTGTACTGAGAATAAATCTTGGAATTCTGTGTGGAGTGCAGAAAGAGTGAAAATAAAAAACCCAAGCAAAGTATTGAACAGATGGTAGAGAATCTAGGGAATAGAGAGAAGTAAGAAGTCAGGATAATTACATTAAGGTGTTCAGAAAAACTAGATTTTTTTAAATGTCACAAATAAAATGGTCGTTGAAATTGCCCAAGGTTTATAAGGTCAAAAAGACAATCCAAATACAGCCTAACTAGTTTTTAAAAATTTGTGTTACTAAGACCAAATCTACAGGGTTTTGTAGCGTAATCACAATCTTAAGTGGTCTAAAAAGTTTTAACAAGGAATAAAATACTTTAAGATCTTAAAAACGTTTAAAATCTCGTTCAAATGAGTATTTTTATATTATAATACATAAATTTAGACAAAAAATTAGATACATCAGCTGATTGAATACAATTACTACAGGGCGTCCGATTAATTCTGTCAATTTTTAAACAGCTATTTCTCTCTCATTTTTTGGAATTTTTACAATCTGCAAAAAGATTTAAGCAACAAACGTTTTGCAATATATAGCAAAATATTTGTAACATATATTGCAGAAAAAAACACAAATTCGTTTTTCCTATACACCACTGTTTTGATAACACGTTTCACGCGCAGTTTCACCTTTCGTTGGGTTGGTGGGTTAAATAAAACTAAGATAGCCAAGGTTAAGAGTTTTTAAAATTTGTCGATACCTTCTTTCGTTGAAGAGTTATTACTCTTCAAAGTCAACCCGACCGAAATACTTCTAAGAGTTTTAGCCAATTTTCACACCAGAGCTGAATTAACTCTTCTTAAAGAAAAAGAAGTGAATCCAGTTATAAAACAAAACGTTCATATTTTGATAACTCAAATTTTTTACAGATTAGAAGAATTTCCAAACAATAACAGCAATTTGAAAATTGGCAAGATTAAATCCTAAATTAAAAAGTTTCTAATTCTATCTTTTTTTAACCTTAAGTCATTTGAATTTTCTATCAGGATATCATTAGACTCTAAAAGTGCAAAGATTAATGTCAAAATGAGTAAATTTAAAAAATTTATATACATTTTATCAGTATTTGTTGTAGGAGTACCCCAAATTGTTGTGGATTCTGTAAAATGTTATTATGAGAGATAAACAAGAAAAATGTATCTAAGTAAACCAGTATTTTTATAGATAGGATTGTTAAAGGGCCCGGGGGCGTAGTTAAACAAATCCTAAATCTTGAAATAAATTGAACAGATTTGGTGATCAACAGACCAAAACTGTAAAAAATTGTTTGCGAACAGTTTAATGTTTTTATCTTTGTAATGTTAGAAGATGTTCCCGCCCTCTCTTATACAAATATATATTTATAATAAAGAAGATCTTTTAACAAAAGACAAAAACTATGTTTTCTACAAAAAATATCTTGACTAAACAGAAAAAATATATATTTCTGCAAAGAAGAAACCGCGCACCGACCCCGTTAAAAAAAAATTTTAAGAAGATTGTATCGGAAGAATAAACATAATTGCTATTGGTAAAACTGTCATTATTTTTTTTCTTTCTAATTTCTTTAAAAAAACGCAAAGGATGTATTGATCCCGAAAGTGAAGTACGCGAAGCGTACACAATTATTTTATATTAACTGAATATTAAAAACAGAGATAGTTGCTAAGCGCTGCTAAGCGTGTTTGTACTTTAGAGTTGTATTGAGCAGGGTTTAGTTTGAACCAATGTATTCATATATTCAAGCTTCAAGTTTATAATAGCCTGGCTTTAGTCAGGGATAAGGCCTAGTATGAGGATACGCAGACACATGGTCAAACCAGGCAATCAGGCAGTTAGGCATAGATACAACTCAGCATACTAGACTATCCAGTATCCAGTATACATACAACTCAGCATACTAGACTATCCTGTATCCAGTATACAAGTATACATACAACTCAGCATACTGGACTATCCTGTATCCAGTATACATACAACTCAGCATACTAGACAGTCCTGTATCCAGTATACAAGTATACATACAACTCAGCATACTAGACTATCCTGTATCCAGTATACAAGTATACATACAACTCAGCATACTAGACAGTCCTCTATCCAGTATACAAGTATACATACAACTCAGCATACTAGACTATCCTGTATCCAGTATACAAGTATACATACAACTCAGCATACTGGACTATCGTCTATCCAGTATACAAGTATACATAAAACTCAGCATACTAGACTATCCTGTATCCAGAATACAATTATACATACAACTCAGCATACTAGACTATCCTGTATCCAGAATACAAGTATACATACAACTCAGCATACTGGACTATCGTCTATCCAGTATACAAGTATACATAAAACTCAGCATACTAGACT